CCCAGAGTTGTCGTAGGGAGTGCAAGGACCGTAACTCTACGTGATAGTCTCGTTCAACCAGACTCTTGTTGTCTGCGCAATCGTCTGATTGACCGAGACTACACTGCCGATACGATAATTTTTCGACCATTCAGAACTAGAGCAATGTAGCCGGTAACGTTATGTCAAGAGAGTTTACATCTTTAACCGGAAAGTATCAAATATTTAAGTATCCTATAGTTAGATATAAGTTTTAAATCTTACAAAAATGTAACGTTTGTTCGAGATTCGGCAAACGAGACCTCGTTTCGAGATCAAGATGGCGGAGACTACAGCGCGTGCGACCGGCGGCCATGTTAAGACAAGTTTTTCAGTTCCATAGGTATTGTGAATATTCTTTATTTTTCTTACATACGTGTTACCTATAGGGAGAGCTTCGCTCTCACGGGCCCGAAGGGCCCGTGAGAGAGCTCCGCCCTCTATGATATGCTTTTATCTTTTGTATTGCTGGTGATAATAGATATTTGTAAGCGCCTTAGGGTAAAGAAAGCGTTAATACTTTTCATATGAAACATTTTCAACTTTCATTAGGAATTAATATTTACGTTTAGCTAGTTTTATGTCAGTGGGTTTTTTATCATACGAACCTGGATGTATTTTTTACTTCCGTGCTAATTGTATGCATTAATATTAAATCCATTCTCTGAGCGATATCCTCCAGGACCAGATCTAGAGACATATAGTATATACATGTACAAGTACGTCTCTGCCAGGTCCCCACTAGAAATCAGCAAGCCATTTCTCTCAGTTTTATTGGTTATTCTAGGTAATATGACAAACTCAGATCCATCTGTATTTCGATATTTGTTTTAATTATTTATCTGCAACTTTCCAGTTAATTGCAATATTATGTAACTCAATTCTCAGAATTACTACTTTTGTATCTTGCTCACTTTTAAATTAGTTACTTTGATACTTTCTACTGAGATTATATATTGCATCCTCGATATCCAGGGGTTACGCTCACTTTCGCTCTTTACACACCTGGAATATGTCATAGCAAAATTGAAGGCACGATATAGCTGTTTGATTGGTCTCGGGTAAAAAAAAATGACCAATCGCTAGGCTGATACCTCTCCCTTGAAGATTTTAAAGGAGAGACGCCCAACTTCAAAGCCTGTCAATTTTTACCGTTACATGACCGCGAGATTATTTTGATGTACAACAAAGGATCGAACTAGTCTTCTTGTCTCATCAATAAGGTGGCGTACACCGAGCCTTCAATTTTGCCATGACATATTCCAGGGGGTGTAGAGAGCGAAAGTGAGCGTAACTCCTGGATATCGAGGATGGTATATTGATGAATGCTATACAGTCTTTACATGGATTTATGATGAATTGTATGTACGTTGTAAGATTTGCCCTTTACCTGAATAAGATATCATTATTTTTACTCTCACGGATGTAGTAATAAAATGCACAGGACAGAAATAGAAAAAGGGGCACACAATAGTGTCATGAATATGTTCAAATAGAAAAACAAAGTATAAGAAGAAGATACATCCATGGCAGTAAATGTAGACGATTACGTGATCGCTTCGTACAGGATGGCTCCATCAAAAACGGCGAAAAAAAATACAATTTAATGATGTGACGTCATCACTTTTGTTCAGAAATACATGCAAGTTTCCGTGAATTTTATGCTCGAGAGTTTGAGAGCCATTTCAAAGACGGGTGGCTCAATTTGGGTACTGGCTCAATGTGGGTAGTAGCCTGACGTTACCACAGTCTGTTTAAAAATGGCATAATGTATACGGCAGTAATCTGAAATGTAGAACAGAATGATGATGGCAGGAAAGAAGAAAAACATGAAAGGTTTTGAAATTTAAGGAAGGAGCGCTGGAGCATGTGACGTCTAGATCTGATGGAATGCCATATATATTGTACATGACGGTAGGGGGAACGCAACAAGACCATGCACTATTTTGTTACCCCGCTCCGTAAAAATAATAAACATGGCTATAAGAGGCCTTCTATCCATCAGCATCCGGTTATACAGCTCCAATAGAAGCTAGCTTACATATCATTGACACTAGCATGCAGGGAGTAGTTTTTTTTTTTTTTTTTTTTTTTTTCTTCTGTTTCCTTCTTCTTTTACATTTATTGTTCTTCTTGGTGGCGCTTGTTTGTATCATTTCAACTTTCCTGTCACTTTCTTGTATGTGGACTCCATATTGTGGGTGCGAGTTCGAATTGTGCCTGGAAATGGTTTGGGAGCTATATGTCTCTAGTATACCCCGATAATATATTACGTCAAAATTAGCACTTGACGGGAGAGGTCACATCAAACAGATTATAAATACTGAAAACTGTTGTTTTTTAAGATAGTAAGGGAATGATGAAAGAAAAATAATTATTCCCAACCTTGAGGGTAATATGAAAGAAACAAATTTCAATCCTTGTGATTTTTTGGTTGTCTAACGCTCGGTAGAGCCTTGGTAAGACACTAACTTATATCTAATTCCGTGGGTTAGACAACCAAATAAATCACCACTCGAGTTTGATAACTCTCTGTTTCACCCTCAAGGTAGGGGAGGATTTTATTAGTCAGCCCTATGGTATGACATATAGCGTATGAATAGAAGCAATAATGTAGAGTCACAAAAACAGCATTAGATCTGACATCACACTAAGCTCTAGACAGGAGAGGTAAATAAAAACAGGATAAAAAACCTACAGTAAATCAATTATCACAATCAATTATTTATTCATTTGAACGTATAACCGCTAATGCCACCAGCCACGTTTCATATTACTACACATACACTAGAAAACAAGAGGCTCAATGGGCCTGTATCGCTCACCCGGTATTAATCTCACAATTGTAATCTTAGAAATTGAATAATAAAACTGTTCATTATTTTTTCATATTATTCTCGACAAGTGATTGGCCAGAAGTGAATCACGTGTCCATCGATAAAAACCGATATTGACTTGGAGCGCGTGATTTTAGTTGAAGGACTGGGTGTTTCTTAAAATAGAATAATAACGTGTCTCCAAACGAACTTATCGTCCCGCTTCCGTAGCTTTTTGCTGTGTTTTTTCAGATTGCTAACATTACTGTTTTGAAAATAATAAAACAGTTGTAGCCTTTGACTTCGGTCAATACCTGGATTTATCGACCCGCGAAAAGATATATTGACCTCGGACTGCGTCCTCTGTCAATATATCTTTTCTCGGATTGATAAATCCAGGTATCGACCTCAGCCAAAGGCTATAATTGAATATTATTAAGAAGATGACTTTTAAAGATTTATGCACTATGGACCAGATGAGACCATGAAAGTGTGTCACGGTCATTCACATCAGCAATCAATCACCCTGTATGCTTTAGTTATTCAGAAGAAGTCGTTTAAAGATTTCAACATATTTGACCCCTGTGACTTTGAATATGGGCAAAGGTAATTTATTTGAACAAACATCGTAGCCCATCACGCCAATATCCTTCTGGCCAAATAGCATAACCCTGGACCTTTTGGTTATACAAAAGAAGTTATATAAAGGTTTTTAAGACAATTGACACCTGTGACCTTGATTATGAGTGAAGGTCATTTGTTTGAACAAACTCGGTAGCCCTTCATGCCAACATCCTTTTGGCCAAATATCATCACCCTGAACCTTTTAGTTATACAGAGGACGTTGTTTAAAAGTTTTGAAGACAAATTACCCTTGTGACCTTGAATATGGACAAAGGTCATTCATTTGAACAAACTTGGTAGCCTTTCATCCCAACATGCTTCTAGTGAAATATCATCACCCTGGAGCTTTTGGTTATTCAGAAGAAGTTGTTAAAATATACCAACATATTTGACCCCTGTGACCTTAAGCATCGGCAAAGGCCATTAATTTGAACAAACTTGGTAGTGCTTAATCCCAGCATGTTATTTGCCAAATATCATCATCCTGAGCCTTCTGGTTAATCAGAAGAATTTGTTAAATGATTTTAACATATTTGAACCCGGTGACCTCGTATCGTTAGCCTAGACATTTTGATAATTCAGAAGAAGTCGTTTAACAGTTTTTAAGACAATTGACCCCTGTGACCTTGAATAAAGGCAAAGGTAATTTATTTGAACAAACTTCGTAGCCCCTTCATCTAACATCCTTCTGATAAAATATCATCACCCTGGACCTTTCGGTTATACAGAAGAAGTTGTTTAAAGGTTTTTTTTTAGACATTTGACCCTTATGACATTGAATATGTGTGAAGGTCATTCATTTGAACAAACTTGGTAACCCTTTATACAAGCATACTATTGGCGAAATATCAACACCCTAGACCTCTTGGTTATTTAGAAGAAATTGTTCAAAAGTTTAAACATATTTGACCCCTCTGTGGCATTGAATATGGGCGAAGGTCATTCATTTGAACAAACTTGTTAGTGCTTCATCATCATGTTATTGGCCACATATCATCATCCTGTGCCTTTTGATTATTCAGAAGAAGTTGTTTAAATATTTTTACATATTTGACCCCTGTGACCTTGAAAATTGACAAAGGTCATTCATTTGAACAAACTTGGTAGACCTTCATCCCAGCATGCTACTGGCCAAATATCATCAGCCTGTGCCTCTTGGTTATTCAGAAGAAGTTGTTTAAAGTAAAAAGTTAACGTCGGACGGACGACGGACGCCGCACCATGTCATAAGCTCACTTGGACCTTCGGGCCAGATGAGCTAATAAAAAATACATGTTCCTTACATCTTAAATATTGGGTTCATCAGATAAATTATTTCATTACGTTGAGAGCGTAGGATATGATTTTAATAAGATTGCTTCAACATTTAATGTTGCATTAAGCAGTCGGGCGTGTTGGAAGTAAAAAAAGTTACCATTTGCAAATTAGAGATTGTTCCAGATCACATTACCAGTTGGAGGCCTCTCTATTGCCACAATGTATACTTCTATACATATAGGCGTCTATGGTGTGAGAACAAGCGTTCGGATGACGCAGAAAGCGGTGCGTATGCAGATAAAATTTGGGAAACTTATGACAGTATCTGGTTGTTCAAAACTCAACGTCAGAGGGAAGTTGCAGCGTTGTGTTAGAAGTGAAAACTACCAACATGTCACAAGAGGCTTGGGTATGTATTTGATACTGGCTAATGTAAGAATGCAACTGACATGGGAGAGAATGGCTTATTCAGGAAGTGTTAGTTTATTATATTTTTATCGAAAGGTGAGGTTGGTTTTGTTTCGTTTTCTCCATTTTTGCAAATTAAGCGAAATGGGCATACTATGATACTGAAACAATTGATTTCATACATACACTTATTTGATAGCATTTGTATTATTATCAATTAATAGAATCATTTTATAGAAGAAAGTGTTCAATAAAGAAGAGATCAATTTTGACGAATGGAAAATGTTTGATATCTTTATGGAACAATAAAAGGTGGGTTAGTATTTGTGGGGACACATCTAACTTGAGAAACCGGTACCGGCTTCGTGCATTGACAGAGGTCAAGAATAGGACGTCACAGCATGGGTTTTCAGGCAGCACACGTAAGTTTGGCACCGTGTTCTGGACACAACGAAGTAATGTGTTCATCCTTAATGGAGACCTTTAACAGTTGCCATGAGGAACAAGCAAAAACGTTTGCTACAGGTGTCGCTGGAAGTTGATACACAGATATCTACATACGTACATTTTACAGACAGCTAGTCATGATCAGGACACGAAGGTTATAAACATGGCAATTAAAGAATAGTGTCAACATGAATTGTGAAGCCTGTCATATCCACATTGTTATTCATATTTACCGTAGAGTCATTAGTAATGTTATATTGAAATGTATTCTGTTCGATGGAGTTTTTATGAACTTTGTCTGCCATGGAAACTTTGTCCCTCATCCATGGCCTTTCATCCTGAATAAAAGTTTTGCAGTAATAGTCATCACATATTTCACATTGTCTAAAAATACCAATATCTAGAATGTATGCAAAACTGTTTTAAACTTAATAGTGTAAAGATATTAATCAAATCAGTAAATCACAGTGGTTTGTTACAAATGTCTAATACACATATATATATATGCTATGTGCAGTGACCCATATCAGTATCATATGTTTGTGTATTACACATTTGTAACGAACCACTGTGATCGAATGCAACCAGATTATGGGACTCATGGAAATTATTGTGGGCAAACTATTGGGTTATATTGACATTGGTAACCATGAAAGTGACACGAAATATCCGTCCCAGCATCTGAAAAATGACTAACCATCCAACAAGTGCCAACATTGCCAGGTGGGGTAACCTATGTTGATTAGATTTTGCTGATTATTAGGGTTGATATCGATTTATTTTAAACTATGTCCTGTACATTACCTGTTCCTCAAATAAATATAAGGTGCCTGTCAATGACATCAGTAACCACACTTGCTAGAATATCAGTTAATAGAGATGGTAGTGGACATTGTTTTGTGAGGATGAACATTTTTCTGGGTGCTGTTGACGTCGCCACCTATTTCCAACATTTTCCGATAGATGCAGCCATCATGCACACAATGCAGATAAAAATAACTTGAAATTGAAGTTATTCAGGGGTCAGATTAGACCTGTAGTGTCGGTATAGCTTTCAAAAGGAAAGACCACCCTGTCTGCCTCCTTCATACTAAATTTTACTCATTTGAAATGGTATCTGTGTTCTCTAAAATAACAAATTCCAATCTCCTGAATACATTGCACCACAAGCCTTCAGGAATTGGGCTACTAAATGGACAGATTTTAACAAAATTATCACCGAGATGTGTGGTAATTGAATTTGATAAATGGTATACATTTGTTTCACTTTTTGAACACATTTGCACATGCTCATTTACCTGTGTATGGTTTCATCCAGAAAACAATTAGAATACACATTTATTAATTTAAAAAGGGGGGGATGTGGGGATTGAAATTTTAGGGTTACTGTAGTGTAGCCTATTTGTAGCGATTTCCCCAAGGCACATATCTGACATTGTAGAAAATTTAATGGACTTTATTTTTCCTCTTTAACATTATCTTTTTAACAACTTTTCTGGTTCGTCTAGGTTCATTAGATGTTGTTCAGTGTAAATATAAATTTTAAGGCCAAACAAAAATATTTGGTGTTTCCAGTAACCCTAGTTTGTTGGTGCCTTCCCTTAACTTCTATATAAACCATATAAAATTATCTTTAAAATGTTATAGGAATCACTTTTTTTTTTGTCTTGCCTAAAACCTGTCTTATTTCATACTTTAAGGAATCCAACATAATGACTGGATTTGGCAGTGTAATGATACAATTACACACATTTTATTTAATATTGTTATATTATTTAATAAGAAACAGAATTACAGCTGTATAATTAATTTTGCTGGATGTTAAAAATAAAATACTTGGAGGTCGGATTACACAGGTTTCATTGTAAGTACTGTAAGGTTGGTCACGGGAAGCTAGGGTTTTAAAAGGTAATTTCAAAAGGGAGGTTATATTATAACTGAAGCTTTCATTTTCATTTATGAATGATACTATTTACTGGCTTAGCTGAATCAGCACAAAGGGTATGTCTGTAGTGTAGACATCACTAGTACTCTTATCCAGCCAATGTATGTATACATGTATATACACAGCTGTATTTTTTTTCGCTGACAGCCAAGTCTGAATGACTAAGCCTGCCATGCTTGAGCGACCCTCAAGGCCAAATTTGCTACAGATATAAGAGCAGACAACAAAGTCAGTCTATCAAGATATTGATTTAGAATGAAACTTTGAAGTGTGCAGATATAATATTTAGGTAATTGTGAAAGAATTCTTAATGTTTCATTTTAGTTTACTTTAGACACATGAGTGCATGAAATGAATGCTTTATTCAATAATGGATTAAAACACTGACAAACATAATCCCAATCACTATAGCTATGTAGAGAATGTGATCAAAGTTGTCAGGGCACTAAAAAGGTCACACCCAGCTGGCAACCTGTACATCACTTTTTCCATATGTATGAATATCATCCTTAGTTATGTGTGAAGCCATCACAGGTATTTTTAAACCCCCTGTGTGGGAGTAGGGCTCAGGCCAAACAAACAAAGAATGTATATTATGTTTTTCTAGTAAACAGATGTTAAAAATAGAACATACGTAACATTTATACTATATTTAAAAACAAAATTAAGTGCATACATGTGTATACAATGTATATCCTACCTTTCGGCAGCACATGACTATGAAGCCATCTTTAATATCTCTCAGGCCTACATCTATGTACTTCAAGTATACAGTGTGCCATTTCTAAGCTATAATTTAATTTATACCACATTTAGATATATTAGTTAATTGATTAAGACTGTATATGTTTGTTGTTATTAGTTTAAATACAATATGACAGAAATTGCAGGAAAAGTGACAAATTTGGGTGTAGGTTCTAAATGATAGATGGATGATGGATCCTAGTCCAGCTTCTGTTGGTGTCATTCTTTAGGTGAGAGGAGAGGGCTGGTGGGCGGCTTTACAGCTGTAATTACAACCTCCTCAGGTTTAAATGGGAATAGTGTTCCATGTGTGTTGATTACAAGAAACTTGACTAAAATGTTTTAAGGAGTGTGGGTTTAAAACTACTGGTCTGGAGCGTTTGACTTTATGGTAGCTTTTAAATCGTTAGTGTAATCCTCCTTGAGTTTTACTAGTCTCCAAACGACAAAGGGACTTCAGTATTAAGTGAAGGTCCTATCCCAATAGCAATCACAACGCTTGTGAATGATGTTTTGTGGTTCACACATTCGTAAAGCTTGGTAACTCTTATTGAGAACAATAAAACATTCTCAAAACTTCTCAATACAAAATATAATTTTGTTGCTGCAGTAAAAAGAATTCAAATCTGTATTATTTATGTAGTTGGTGTAATCTTAATATATTTCGTGGACATTACATAAATTTGAAACATTTAAACTGCTAGTATACAGTGCATGTACATTTTTTATTGTGCATTTCCTGCTAGCAGGCAATATTTTACTGCATAACTTGAAACACATGTACAGGAAAGATTAGGCGGAAAAGGAAGTAGAAAATCTGCCATGTAATTGAGATTTTTTTTTTAACTGATTGATACTTGTAAAGCAAGTTACACACCAAATGTACAAACAGCCCATATTGAAGATGTTTTTAGAATATCAAACTTTCTCATTGGTCAAGAAGTTAAGCCAAATCAAAAAACAATTGTTTCCAGTAACCCTAACCTACCCTAACTTTATGTGCCTACCCTAAACAAAATGGCAGTTTTCAAGGAAGGACTGTTTAAAAGTCAGGATCATTCTGCTATATAACTATCCTAAAACAAAATTGAATTAAAATAAAATTACTTAGTTTCCTACGTGTAGAGCTAACATTTTATTTTGGCCTCATGACCGAAGACGAGATTTACAATTTATTAAAACGGCAATCTGAATCATTTAGCTGTTAGCCTAGTATTGTGAAAATCCAGGTTAGAGCGTATTATTGAGATGACACGTTAAAGTGATTCAGTCTGTGGACACTGCCTACTACAACGGGCCAACAATGATTGGGCCCATTTGTTTGTGTGTGTAAAATCCCATTAAAAATTAAGATAACTGGAAATTTGTTTGATTGGCCCCTCAGGAAAAATTTCAAACTCTGTTGTTGAATCTGACTTAGGATGAAATAAATTTCCTGAAACAGATCTGACACAATCTGTAAGCTTATATTTATACACCCACTAAGAATTTCTAACTTTTTTTTGTAACTGAGAATAAAATGAATTCACTAAAATAGATCTGACTCAATCTGTAAACTGCTTATATTCATACCACAAGGAGTGAATCACCGTCTGTTTCAAAGTCAGCATGCTAATTATCTAGAAGGTCTGTAACACATTTGTTTTGTGTGTACATCGTAATATGCACTGCACACATACACAGCACCAACAATTTTCATCAAAACATATTTATATGCATTAGAATCTCAAATTTTAAAATAAGAAAATAGTTAGTATTAAAAAAACTAACTTAGTCATCAAAATTTGCGATTATGTAGCCCCACAATGGGGTGTTCAATTTTGTATATAGATTACTAGTCTACAGGCAGATTTTGAAAAAAAATAGCAAATTCTACTTGCCCCAGGTGTAGTCTATTTTAAATTATATATTGTGGTATCAGTCTACTAGGGATAAAAACTTTTTTTACTTAATACAGCAAAAAAAAAAAGAGTAGAAAGTGGATTATAAAACTATGGGGAGAAAACGGTCTCATTTTCACACAGATTTAAGAAAGCAAACCCGAGCCACAGTCCTAGTACATGTAACCACTGATTGGTATGTCAGATTACTCCCCTCCCATCTTAGGACTGCACCACTGTTTAGCTGTTTTGTCTACAATATAAATGTGATGGACAAGCCCAGGGCTGAGCTTTAGACCTGGTGAATCAGACGCTGTTGTCCTGGTAAAGTGATTTCCCTTCTGAGTAGATTAGGACCAAGCATGTGTGCACCCAATGTTTAAACATGCAAATGGCATGATGCACATACCGTATTTATCTTTATTGGTGCCCCTATCCTTTTTTCAACACTATAGACAAAACAAAAAATGTGTGGTGTTTACAGTAACTTGTGTACCTACCCTAAACTTTCGAAGGCAATTTTCAAAGAATCACTGTTACAGTCAAGATCACTCTCCTATATATAAACCATAATTAATAAAATTGTTTGCTCAAATAAATTTGAAACCTACCTACCTACCTATTCTAATTTTTTCCACCATGTTACAGGAAACATGTGTTATATATTTTTTTTGTCTGGCCTGACGAATCTATGTTTATATATAAATGTACACAAACCCCTACCCCACACCCTTGATCCTGGCCCTCACTGGTAATATATGGATTAAATACACATTTAGACTGATGTAAGTAAGATTTGCAAAAGTGGATTTTGGTTTGGTTTAATTTTGTTAAACGTCCTATTAACAACTAAGGTCATTTAAGAGCGTGCCTCCATGTGTGTAGTGTATGCGTGCTTGCGCGTGTGTATGAAGGAGACAGGGTATTTTGGTGTGCTTGCCTGCTTGTGATAGCGCGGATCTGTTGCCGACTCTAGTGCTATCTCACTGAAAAGCCAAGCACAGCATTCCGCCCGGTCACATTATACTGACAACGGGTGAACCAGTTATTGCCATTCCCTTCCCCTTAATGCTGAATGTTAAGTAGGGAATAACAGCTACTGTATTTTGACTGTATTTTTACCTGTACAAAGTAATTTTTATGTGAACAGAATTTCTAGCAAACATATGTGTGAATTGATTATTTTATCAATTTAACTGCAGCACAGAGTTAGTGCAGGAAACGTGAGGATATCCTTTACTTTTTACAACATCTGTGACATTTATGTTTTAAAAGTCTGGTTAGCATGTCACAACAACTTTAACACAATAAAGTAATTATATGTTAGGGTATATTTTCAAAAAAAGATCAAAATTTGAAAAAGCTAAAGTAATATATTGGGATTGAAATGACAATCCGAAGACAAGAAGCACAGAAATGGTTTTCATATTTTCGAGTTTTATTTCGAAAAACTGCATTTTGAATAATCAGGCTGTTAGCTGAACCCTGAATTTTAGCTTGTACAAGTACACTTCGTGTTGTTTCCTGTTGCAAATCCTGTAACATCTGGCCACTGGGAATATCAATACTTGTTGTTAATTAAGCTATTTTATTAATTTTGCATGAAAATTATGTATTAAATATGGAATCATTGATCTGTATCCGATACTGACATGTATATGGTGATTTAAGGTGGACACACATACCCCAATGACAGTGCTGGTTGTAAAAAAAAAGGCAAATGTTTAACAAACTAAACAATAGATTCTGAGATACTGTATGCTGGGAAACTGTAGTGTCATTTCTGATTTTATCACCATTCATAATGAGGACGAATTAATCATGACAGCGAAAATAAAATGTGCAACATATGATATATAGTCATAATATGATTATTTTATATGAGAATGGCAAAATTAATGCTTGGTAGATATAGATTATATCCATGAGTTTTCCTGTATACAGTATTCCATTAGACCTACCATATTTGACCTGCAAAACATATAACACTATACTAGATGTAGTGTTCATGTATAATGTACAGTGTGTGCAACGGTAAAGTTTAAAGAAAATGTGCACCGACCCTGCATTACTGAGCATGGACAGGTGCTTTAGGAGTTTCAGTAAGAACTCATTCTTGTAATTGGTATTGCATGTAATTAAAAAAAAATAACCTTACAACTAATACTGTACCATGCACCATGTTCATACAATTATATTGGTATTTTTAGCAATTTTGTCTTTGATGTTTAATTTGGAAGCTATTTTTCGAGTTTTACAAGTGTAAATGACCATATTTGGTATTAACAAGTTCAGGATATAGGAAGCCGAGTTCATATGAGTAACGATTGTACCACATGTACAAAAGAATTGAAAATATTGTGAAACTATGTCCTCTTGTTTTAGCCACTTTTAAACTGAAGAAAACAATTATGTACCCGCAGGAAAATGACATTGTCTGGCCCTTTTAAATGATGCCAAACACTATTGTCATCCAATTAAGTATTAACTGTCTATATCTGATAATGTCAAGCCTTGTTTACATTACAGGCCATCCCAGTGGTGATAGGAGTAGGAGTAGTAGCTGTCACAGCTATCCTGGCTAAGATTTTCCTGTTTGGGAAGAAGAAGAAACCCCTGGTGACCCTAGAGGATCCCAACACCAAGTACTCGCTCAAACTTATCGACAAGGAGGTAAGACACTTGCCATGAATATCACCTGTCTCATTTTAGACTTTCCTTTTTGACAATTACTAAATGTTTATTATAGGGCTGCAACATCTATAACATGTGACGATATATTGCAATATTTTTGAATATGGTATGATACACAATATTTTTTGGAGGTCATGATATGACCACGATAATTTCTGGATTTTGTTGTTTCTGAAATAGGTCAACTGATATCTGTGCCAACATGGGAAGTGACTGTTCAGCTCTGCATGATTTATGTGAAACTTAAAAATATTGACCATTTTTGACCAAGTCTTATTTCTAGTTGTTTTCTCTTTGCTTCCACTGTAACTATATGTAATTATATTATGTATCTTATCGTTATGTTAATGTATCATTGCAGCCCTAGTATTCCGTCTTTTCGTATTGCAGAGTTATCTTCTCTTGTGAGCAGGTATTGATTGTTACGTCATTGGTTTGTGTGAGAAAATTACGTCGTTTTTCTCAAAAATTAATGACTTTACTCTCACAAACAAATGACGTAATAATCAATATCTGCTCCCAAGAGCAGATAACCCTGCAATACGAAAAGATGGAATATATAAGTTAATATGACAAGGGACATTTTTTTCTAAAATAGTCATCAAAAAGCGAAGATAAGCTGTCATATTGTTTGTTTTCTTGTTATAAATGCAGCAATTTAACCCATTCACCCCTAAAATTACATTTGAGCCTTACCAAGTCAAAGACTGGGCAAGTCCAGTTTAAATATCTAGGGGTGAATGAGTTAAAATATATACTATTGTTGAGTTTGTGACCTCTGACCTTTTTATTGTGTTCTTGACAGGAAGTTAGTCATGACACCAGAAGATTCCGTTTTGCCCTGCCAAGCACCGGACACATCCTCGGACTTCCTGTTGGTCAGTAAGACTTTTTGGTCTAGTTACTATTAAGGAAACATTAATAAATCTTGCTGTTATAAACCTAAATGAAGAAATCTTAGTCCAAAGCTATATAATGTATTTTATTTTTAAAATCTGATATTTCTGACCAGGGTAACATTAAATTAAAGGGAAGCCAAACTATTGTTTTGATTCATCTGTAGCAACCTGTGTCAGACCATTGGAAATTACAAACTGTAGGTTCTGTAGTTTTATTAGATACCTGCCACAGGGATGTGGGTTTAAAACTCATCTCATCTGTTGTCTGTCTGTCTACAGTTTCATTTTCACAGATATAATCACTGAATCGAGAAATTTTACATGGTAGATTTTTGTAGCTTTAATGTTACCATTTTAATAATAATATACAACATTATATATAACGTCCTTTCTAGCTAACATATTAAGCCACTCTAAAGCGCTTTACAGTACATAGATATATACAATGTATACACTTAGCATATGCATTTATAAATACAATTTTGAGGAATAAGCAGGATCAGCCTTATCAGGCGCTTACTACTTAAAAGTCCTATGCCACCTGGCTAATACCTCCCTATGTGTATATGCCTGCATGTGTGCTGGAGATGTAATGTGTTCTAGTTGAAATGGGAGGGTGCTTCCAACTTCATCATTTTATAGTGCCACCTCGCTTAAAAGGTACAGCACAGATACCGCAACATACACCCCAAACCAATCTTTGCTCCACCTCGACCTATCCGCCCGTTTTAAATGTTCCTAAGTTCAAAAGTGCTAAAAATAGAACAGGGTTATAGTGTCAGAAATACACAGTATTGCCTTTCTGAACCTATCTATTAATACATTTTTGTTCCTCTCTAAAATCATGTCTGCAGACTCGGGGTTAGACACGAACTAGTTTTGCTTGTTAGTCAACAAGACTAGTTGAATAGATTATTTACATGTATTTGTCCTATGTCAATGTAACTAGTCCAAGATTTCCTTCAGGAAAGATCTCCATTGTGAAATATAAAAGAAATTAACTGTAGCTGGAGATATAATAAAAGTACTGCCATGAAGACTTAGTGAAATGTTAGGAAAATTTGACAATTGTCATGCACTATATCTGTATTTTGAGCAGTTTTCCAAAAGGAACATTCTTATTTATATACTATAGAAGTAAACTTTCTGTGTTCATTTGACAGGCCAGCACATTTATTTGACTGCTCGCATTGATGGTCAGCTGATCATTCGGCCCTACACGCCTGTGTCCAGTGACGATGACAAGGGTTGTATGGACCTGGTCATCAAGGTAATGTGGCTAACTACTTCTGAATTTTTCTAGATAACAACTTCAAGATAATTTTTACAAGATTATAACTGGTACAGTTTTAAGGCCATCTTGGTGAAAAACATGTGCACTATCCACTGCCTGGGTAGTCAGATGGTGGCACTATCCACTACCTGGGTGGTTGGATGGTGGCACTATCCACTGCCTGGGTAGTCGGATGGTGGCACTATCCACTGCCTGGGTGGTTGGATGGTGGCACTATCCACTGCCTGGGTAGTCAGATGGTGGCACAATCCACTACCTGGGTGGTTGGATGGGGGACCTATCCACTGCCTGGGAAGTCAGATGGTGGCACTATCCACTCCCTGGGTGGTTGGATGGTGCCACTATCCACTGCCTGGGTGGTTGGATGGTGGCACTATCCACTGCTTGGGTGGTTGGATGATGGCACCATCCACTGCCTGGGTGGTTGGATGGTGGCACTATCCACTGCCTGGGTGGTTGGATGATGGCACCATCCACTGCCTGGGTGGGTGGATGGGGGCACTATCCACTGCCTGGGTGGTTGGATGGTGGCACTATCCACTACGCTGGGTGGTTGGATGGTGGCACTATCCACTGGTTGAATGGTGGCACTATCCACTGCCTGGGTGGTCGGATGGTGGCACTATTCACTGCCTGGGTGGTTGGATGGTGGCACTATCCACTGCCTGGGTGGTTGGATGGTGGCACTATTTACTGCCTGGGTGGTCGGATGGTGGCACTATTCACTGCCTGGGTGGTTGGATGGTGGCACTATCCACTGCCTGGGTGGTTGGATGGTGGCACTATTCACTGGTTGAATGGTGGCACTATCCACTGCCTGGGTGGTTGGATGGTGGCACTATCCACTGCCTGGGTGGTTGGATGGATGCACTATCCACTGACTGAGTGTTTGGATGGTGGCACTATCCACTGCCTGGGTGGTCGGATGGTGGCACTATCCACTGCCTGGGTGGTTGTATGGTGGCACTATCCACTGCCTGGGTGGTTGGATGGTGGCACTATTCACTGGTTGAATGGTGGCACTATCCACTGCCTGGGTGGTTGGATGGTGGCACTATCCACTGCCTGGGTGGTTGGATGGATGCACTATCCACTGACTGAGTGTTTGGATGGTGGCACTATCCACTGCCTGGGTGGTCGGATGGTGGCACTATCCACTGCCTGGGTGGTTGTATGGTGGCACTATCCACTGCCTGGGTGGTTGGATGGTGGCACTATCCACTGGTTGAATGGTGGCACTATCCACTGCCTGGGTGGTCGGATGGTGCTGTGGATAGCACAATCACCTTTTACCAAGACAGTCAGGGTTTGTTTTCATAATCTGTTATCAGATGTGAAAAAGTATGAGGTCATCTGCCTGACCAGTTGAGTTCTCCTAGTAATCCTGTTACTTCCCCCATAAAGTTTCATAATTGTTAGCTCACCTGTCCGAAGGACAGGCGAGCTTATATCATGGTGCAGCGTCCGTCGTTCGTCCTCGTCCATCAACTTTTCCTTTAAACAACTTCTACTGAAGAATGGACGGGCCTAGAGTCATGATATTTGGGTGAAGGATTTGTTGGTAGGAGCCTGACAAAGTTTGAGAACGAAAATGACCTTAACCTACTTTCAAGGTCACATGGGTCTAATATGTCAAAAACTTCAAACGACTTCTTCTGAACAACTAAAAGGTATAGAATCTTCATATTTGGCTGATGGTTTCCTGGATAAAGCCCCACAAAGTTTAAGAATGAAAATGACCTTGACCTACATTCAAGGTCACAGGGGTCAAATGTGTCAAACACTTCAAACGACTTCTTCTGAAGAACTGAAAGGTATAGAATCTTTATATTTGACTTGTGGCTTCCTGGGATAGAGCCGAACAAAGTTTGTTAATGAAAATTAGTTTGACCTACTTTCAAGGTCACAGGAGTCAAATATGTCTAATGCCTCAAACGACTTCTTCTGAAAAACTGAAAGGTATAAAATCTTTATATTTGGCTGGTGGCTTCTTGGATAGAGCCCGACAAAATTTGGAAAGGAAAATAGTTAGATATGTCAAACACTTCAAACAACATCTTCTGAAGAACTGAAAGGTATAAAATATTAATATTTGGGTGGTGGCTTCCTGGGAAAGAGCCAAACAAAGTTTAAGAATGAAAATTACCTTGAAAGTACACAGTGATCAAATATGTCAAACGGTTCAAACAACTTCTTCTGAAGAATTAAAAGGCATAAAATTATAATATTTGGCTGGTGACTTCCTGGGATAGAGCTCACCAAAGTTTGCGAATGAAAATGACCTCAACCTAATTCAGAGGTTACAGAGGTCAACAACATTTTAAAGGATTTGTTCTTAAGAACTAAAAGGAATGGATTCATAAGATTTGGCTGGTAGCTTTTTGGAATAGAGCTAACAAATTTGAGAAGGAAAATGACATTGACCTACTTACAAGGTCACAAGGAAAAATATGTCAAGCAACTTCTGAAGAAGAATCAAAAAGCATAGAATCTTATAATAATATTTTGCTGGTAGTTTCAACAGATGGAGCCGACAAAGTTTGTGAGGGAAATATTTTTAGTGCAATATAATATTTAATGAGAATATCTGCTATGACTGCTTAAATATTCAGGTGAGCGATACAGGCCCTCTGGGCCTCTTGTTTTAAAAGAAAAGAAGTTTATATTTTACAGGTACAGTTGTAGCCTACACTTTAATAACATTGATTTAGAATGAAGCTGAAAGACCATGTGCTGGATGTATTGTAAGAGGTGGAGACTAATCATGTCTCTGTGATATGTCTGAACAATGATGTTAATTGAAATTTCTGAGAAAAAAGCGTTGCTTTATAGAGTAAGTACTGCATTATGTGATTTTATTTTGACAGGTGTACTTTAAGAACGTACACCCCAAGTTCCCGGAGGGCGGTAAGATGAGTCAGTACCTGGAGGCCATGTCTGTTGGGGATTACATCGACGTGCGTGGACCCAACGGTCTCCTGAAGTACACTGGCCCAGGTATGTCACTACACACAGTAAAACCTTGGTATATTGCCATCATATGTACAGCAAAACTTTACATTACAGACAATTGGCAATAAATTATGCATTACATACAGATTTTGCAATAAATCAAGGGAGTTGTATAAAGATTTTTTAAGAAAAGGAAAATAATCAGGACATTTACCTGGTAAGTATGTTGGCAGTAGGTATTAAAGGCGAGTTGGTAAATACATTTATTGGCAATATATCAAGGTTTAATTGAGAGATTATGTTGTACTCCAAGTTATGTGAATGTTGCCTATTTATGTACAAATGGAGGGGCTGACACCTCCCCCCACCCACTCCTCTTATTTGCCATATTACTTTTAATGAAAATATTGCCATGATTGCTTTAATATCCAGGTGAGGGATACAGGCCCATTGGGCCTCTTATTACATGGTTTTGTACATCTGTTGTCACACATTATATTTTCTTTACTTGAAGGAGAGTTCAGTATCCGCCCTGACAAGAAGACACAGCCGGACACCTACACTGCCAAGAAATTGGGGATGATCGCTGGCGGTACAGGCATTACTCCCATGTTACAGCTCATCCGACAGGTATTCAAGGATCCCAAGGACAAGACTGAGCTGTCTCTGCTCTTTGCTAACCAGGTAAAGAAGTTTTTGACTAGCACCATAAAAATACCTGTAGTGTTTCCAGTTAATCCTTTTCTACCAATCGAAGTTTAGGTGTTAAACTTAGGGATGTTATTACTATATTTACCTACCAAAAAGTTAGGAGTTGAAATTAGCTTTAATCTGTCAATAGATACAATCTTGTCCAGACAGCTAGTCCCTCAGTTTCAATGCGATGTGTCTTAACGACCACCATCCTATGTAGTTGTGCATGTTGGTATACTGATGTCATGATTAGTTACAGTTATAGCAGTTTTTGTAGTCGAGCATTAGAGTCTTGTTCAACCAATAAAACCCAATTGAATTTCTTTTAAAACCTAGAAGAACTAATCACCATCATAATAATTGCATCATCATCAAATTTGAAAAGTGTACTTTTTCAGGATTTTTCCTTGGATGGGGCATACATACATTTAATATTTAGGTTAGGTTGAAGCTTACAGTTTGAGTTTTAACAAACACCATTGATAAACTTGAAAAAAAGAATAACCAAGCAAATTTGTTGACATTCTTTGTACTGTTTTGTAGACCGAGGATGACATCCTACTTAGAAATGAACTTGAAGACATCGCAGCGGAACACCCAACACGCTTCCACCTCTGGTACACCCTCGACAGGCCAAGCGAAGGTAAATGTCATCCCTCCCCCACTTAATACCAAGATTCAAGATTTGTTATTATGCTCTGACACACAAGAGGTCAATCAAATAACACCCTTTTGATTGATCGTTACATATTGTAAACATTCCTTTCATTTTATCGACATTTGGGTTCGTGTAATAATATTTTGGAATACATTTTCCCCTAATCTGGCGTATGGATTCTTGTTGACATTTAAACAAATAAAGAAATTCATCTCCTGTTTCATTTCTATTACACAAAGTACATTCTCTTTCCTGTCAAGGAATTCCCATCCAACGGCCAGATGTGACTAGGATTGCTTTCTGTCCGTCTGTGTGTCCCTTTGTTTGTGGTATACCTTAAACAATGTATATATGCACCAAGTTAGCTGCAAATGTCAAACTTTGTATGAGAGTACTTTCAGGATTGTAAAGCACTGAAATTGGATATAGTACCACTGAGAAACACTTAAGGACGAAAAAATCAATTCTACAACTTAATCTACCTTATTATACCAGTAAACTTCAATTAGCATTGAATTTTACAAAACACAATCTAAATCATAAATTCATGACCCAACTTAATGACGTACCAGCTAAATAATCTATGCATGGCTAACTTAATGATGTACAATCTAAATCATATTTGCATGGCCCAAATTACGGAAACACTCTCCAAATTAGCGGAGCACCATTTAAATTTAAAAACCATATCCAAGTTGTCGGGACATGGACCAGTTTTCAGGAACAACAACCAATTTTCAGGGACAACAACCAATTTTCAGGAACATAACAATTCAATAAGATTGTGCCTTTGTTCCCGAAAACTGGTCGTTGGCCCCCGAAAATTAAGTCGTTGTCCCGCTCACTCGCACAGCGGTATTCCCTTTGATGTAGCCGCGCTCCGGCGAAGCCCGTACAGGTGAGGCAGTCTATAGTCCCTGCCTTGCTGGCCGTGTTGTCGGTATAGCTATGCAAAGACGGTCGCTCTAATTCCGTAATCAAAACGATATAATAACACAGGTCGATAGTACACTTATATTTACTTCGAATGAAATAAATAAAGACCAAGGAAATAATGCTTATTTTGTACTACGGCCAGGGTTAGGATCGAAATGAACGACCATTTGAGAATAATGCATAACTTTTACCGTATTGCTGAACTGGTGCTTTGATACATCACTCCAGGGACACATGAAGCCAGTATATACGTCTCTGATCACTCATATAATAATCAAAGACACAATATGAACTCTCAATATTAACGATATTTAATGACGAACGATAAGTACGTCCCGATGTCGTATACAACTTATATTACGTAAACTATATCCCCCGGCTCCGTTCGGTCCGAGGTACTAGTTGTCCAGTATTTATTGATAAACTCGTGCAAATGATGAACCGATTGTGTAAATGTTCATAAACGAACCACTGTATATATATATATATGTTAAGACAGTTTACGTTCCTATTTTGCCTCATATACCTTTCAATCGTTTTTTATGTTGTTAATAGTTTTGTGATTTATATAATCCTCTTAGTAAGGAGATTCCCGATCACCTGTCCTCTCAGCTTTTAATTTCTATTGTATTTAACATAAATGTATTTTATTCATATTTTGGTGTTTTTTTAATCATTACTGATATAATTTCAATTAAATGGAACTTTATCTTTCCTGTACTGTCGTAAGAATATCCCTTCTGATTTAATGTTTCATGTTATAATATTTAAGGTTGAACTTTCTATTTAGTTTAGGTTATCGGGTGATAAAGAAAAAATAATTTACCCGGGTTCCATTGTAGTTATCACCCGATAACCTAAATTGAATAGAAAGTTAATCCTTATATTTATAGCCTTTTTCTTTACATAAAACGCGTCCATTTATGTCATCAAAGTAAACGTATGTAAATGAACACACAATCCAGCCGTCCTGTCAGTCAACAACGTGACGTCATCGGAATGTATGAATTTCAACAATGTATGTTTACATTTCAACAATGTATCTTTTGCATGAATACACTAATGAGTTACACATCTGGTATCCGAGGTACTCCTGTTAACTTCCTAAAACAGCAATGTAAGCTCCCGGGTTGTTGAAACTTCGAGTGATAATGACAATGATCTCCACAAAGGCTTTCATTAGAAAAAATACCATTTAAGTTACGTACACTTATGTGTTTAAAGTGAACGAAATTTTCGAAATATCTTGTTTCTTTATTCATTTAAAGCGAACTTAACCATTTCAGAAAGATAATGTGCATCCGTATGTCAGTTATCAAAACTGTATAAAGTAAAGAGAGAAAAAAAATAGAGCATTATTCTTAACCAGAGACGTTATATTACAATATATACGACTTTGGTGTATAGTCTAAACAGTTGCTCTCGTCTAACGAACCTGTGATTACTAAAATTTAGAACCTATGAAACTTCTTATATAAAAGGCTAAGCGTGATCCGGTTGTTAAATATATGAATTATCAGAATTAATATTGAATATTGTATTACCTGTCTTCAGACAGAGACATATAAAGCCGTAAGTAGTATATACGTTTCCGCTTCAGGTCAACCATGACAATCAGAATAATATATAAACTAAAGGTATTTTGTTTTGGTTTCCTTTCTATCATAACCAGATACCTTCTCTGTATTAACGTAATATATTAGGTATCAGTACATTTCACTCATAGTTCCAGTAGTATTAGTAATCATTATCAAATACATATATAGATAAAATATATTGCCGTGTGAATGATGTAATTGATATACAATATGTGTTAAGATAAGTTCTGTGCACTGATCTTACACGAAAATGGCACCGTTTCATTGGTTGATATACCTGTCAATCACGCGCGGTAGAGAGGTGGGCCCTCGCGATGATTGGTTGATGTTCTTGTCGATGCTCCGCTGTTGTTTGATTGACAAGAATATCACGGGCCGTAATTCTCGTCACATTCTAGTCCATGTACTCGCAGTGACATTTGGTATTTCTTTTTCTGTTTCCTGTTGTACAATATATTTAAACTTGAAAGTGACATTCGTTCTGAATTCTTTTTTAATTGGTGCAAGCATCCCATGCATACAATTTTATTATGAGAAAGTAGGTTTACTTTGCTTGTAATGTATAATCGTGCACAGAAACTTTACATGTGGATGTACATTGTATTGGACATGTATGTTGAAATTGTAGGTGTGTAAATATAGCTGTTGGTCTGTATGAACTTTCTAACTAAGCATTGAAGGATAATTAAATGTAATCACTACTTGTAAGCGTCAAGGAAAAATAATTAAACTAAGGAACTGTGACAATGTATTATGAGAATTATCGGTGTTCATGTTAAAATATAATAGACAAAAGCAAATATTTATTTATAGGACTGTTTTGCTAATACTGAAATACTTTTTTTCTGGTAACACAATGTTCAAATACTAAAGTGACATTTGTACTGAATTCGTTTTACTTAGCGCAGGCAGCCTGGTCCTCGCATAAAATGTTAGTGAAAAAGTGGGTTGACTTGGTATGTAATGTATAAAAAGCTGTATTTGACAAGAGGGTATAATTGTACAAGTATGTGCAAAATGTTGTTGAATGTATAGGTAAGTGGTTGTTATGAAAAAAACATGTTGATATGATTGATTGTACATACGTGTGCATGTTTATATGTTTGCAGGTAGGTTGGCCCAGTTAATTATTTCTTTAACAAAGGAAAAATCTTGTTATTTCATTATCTGATTAAGTAACCAGCAACCGACCGTGGAGAAGTTGATTTGTACTTTAATTTTTAAATCATAGTATACTGTAAAAGCATATATTTACGTTGGTGGTTAAATTTCGTTGTTTTGGATTTGGGACAAGTTCGTGGGGAAAATATTTCGTGAAATCAATATTTTCAAACCCAGTTATTTTATGTTTGACACCTGGACAATAAGACTTACCGTACATCGCCCGAGGTGATCACCCATCCACTCCAGGTGAAATTTTCACACCTCGCTTCACCCCAGTCAGTGGAAAACAATAGATCGACCATCGCCCGATGGTCACCGTACTGCTTGCGAGGTTCAGGTAAGACCCGGCGAGATAAACTCACACTATGGGTATCGGTCAAATCCGTCATGCTCTATAATTTACATACAAAGAGCGATGTAACAAACGCTTGATTGACGCGCTATAGTTATAAGTGTTTAACTCTGTGTCTGTGACGATAAGTACACCGTTTATCATGACCTGTGTCTAAATGTAAATACAGCATGGTTTGTAATTAAAGTAATAGTTTATTTCATATTTTCGCTAATTTCTATTTCGTGCGATTAAAATTTCGTTGGGATTATATTTCATGGTTTTCTTTAAACCACGAAATAAACGAAATTAAATCCCCAACGAAATATTATGCTTTTACAGTAATCTGTATTTAACGTTGAAATAGTGTCTCATAGGTCAACTTGGCCGGATAATTAATTCTATCAATTTTGTTTCAACTAGAAACTTTAAATTGTGAATGGATATGTGACTCTTTAATAAAATAAATTATTATTATAAGGGTTAATATATATCACAAGACATCCAATCGACATTAGCCTATAATTGGATGACAACACGTAATCACCTTTTGTCATGCTGTGTACACAAACGCCAATCATGTCGTCGTTGAACAGCACTACTACGTGACCAGTTTCTGTGCAGGATTATATATATTGCAAAGTTACTGTACCGTTACAGTCCAAATATACGGAAATGTATCAGTGAAAAATGTTAACAAATAACTTCAACGTTGGTGTCTTCTGTGTTTGAGTGTCAAAAAAACGTATAGCATATTTTCGGTATTACCGTTTAATGACAAATTGACTACACTGTGTCGTCCTTATGTTAGGTCGACAATTCAAATAAACAACAAAATACCGACAGTTACACATTGAATATCATTATACAATACAGTACTTATTGATGCGATGCTAAGTTATATCGAGGACTTAGATAATCTGAGTCCGTGATTATATTTATCTCGAAAATATAAT